AACTATGAAAAATTACCTTTTGCCATGATGAGGCACGTAGAGCATATATTTGGTTAGTGACTACAAATCTCATTATGTGTTTTTGTTTTTTTAAAGGAATTATAGTTGTGGAAGGCACACATAGACATCTACCCTATAACATCAGCCAGTGTATCTAAAGTTTCAGTTTCATTCTCTTTTAGAATACTTGAAGGCCAGGCATGGTGGGGCACATCTTTGATCGCAGCACTCTGCAGGCAGAGGCAGGTAGCTCTGTGAGTTTGAGCCAATATAGGGTCCATAGTGAGTACCTTTCAGGACAGCCAAGACCTGCCTCAAAAGAAAGTCTGAATTGGGGTGAGTGAGCTCTCTGAAATTCACTGCTGCTAGATTCGTTGTGTTGACAGCAGGTTGCTCCTGGCCATTTCTGGGAGTTAGTGCACACTAAGGTCCTGGCCTCCACATATTTCTGGTTTCATAGCCTACAAAATATAAAGCCAATGGCTTCATGTCTGCCAAGAAAAAAATAAAAGACAGCCTGTATTTTTCTACATTGAGCAACTAGCTTTTCACAGTCGATTTTCATGTGTAACAGCACCTCTTAACCACAATAATTAAAATCATCCTGATAGCTGTTATAAGATTTAATCGTGGATTGTATGCTGTGCTTGAAGTAAGCTTGTTACACGTTTAGAACATGGTTGTTTATGGCTTAATATAGATGTTTAAAAGTGACCATTTGTGGTGTTTTCCGGTCTATACCTTTGTGTGTTTTGCACAGATTGGAAGAGTGTTCATTTCAGCGTTATCCCTGTCGGTCAGTCAATAGTGTCGTGCGCATGCTGCTCAGCTAGTGTGGGGCAACAGGCAGGGCAGCACCGTGTGGGCAGAGTAGCTAGGAGGACAGGGATACGCAGAGTGTGCGGGTGGCAGAGAAACGGTTCCTGGGGAAAGAGGTGAGAAGGTGAACTACCTCCAAATAAATTTGGTTTCGGAGATAATCTTTAACATTAAACTGTTGTGTACCCAGACTACAGAAGTGGGAACAAATATTTGCATTTCCTCCCGTTCTATGTGAGACAGGGACACTGATGCCATAGACAGACCCTCAGGGGGCAGAGCAGTAAATGAAAAGATGCTCAGCATTGTTATCTGTTAAAGAAATGTAAATCTTTATAAGTTGTCATGACTAAGATAAATGGTAATGCCACATTGTGAGGATGCCAGATATATCAGCTTGTAGATGTTGTGGTAGGATGTAAAATGGGAGAGCTGCTTCTGAAAAGCAGTGTGACTGTGTAAAACAGCTAAGCCTGCCATTTGTTTGCAACTGAAAAGTTGCACTCAAAAAAAAGTTGTACAGAATATGAAAATCCACATTCACACAGACCCTGTATGTGGATACTTATGACTATGGCTTTATTTGTAATAGCCAGAACTGCAGTTACTTGTCTTCAACAAGAGGCTTTGCTTGCTGGCTGTGTTTTTAATGGTAAGTCTATACCGTGAAATACTGTGCAGCGATAAAATAGAATGAGTTATTGATCCAGCAATAAGTCTTGAGAAGGATATGAGGGAAAGAAGGGTGCCTAAAGGCTACCTGCTTTGCAGTGCCAGAACATCAGAAGTAGAGAGCTTGTTAACAGTTCTCCAGGACTGGGGAAGACAAAGAAAGAACAAGCAGAGTGATGCTTGTGCTGAGGGCCGTGTTCTAGTTCTGCCACGGACCGGCCCAGTCGGGCTCCCGTTGTCCACAGGAACAAGGCTTCGAACAGGAAGACACGGTTTCGGCGATGAATTGACAGACAGAGACACCTTGATGGTTTTGACTCTGCTGCAACTTTACTGAAATCAAGCTAGTATTTTTATAATGATTTCACAAAAGGCACCTTAAAATTGGCATACTTCCCAGAACATTCAGACTTTTACCAAGAATACAAAGTTTACATTTTAACTCAAAATGCAGTCAAACATAAAGCAGTGCCCACAAGAAATCTTGGCCTAAAAACTTTTTGATCAGAGCAAACAAAGAAAAAGAAACCTCAAATGTAATTTTATTATTGCTAACCAGTGAAGAGGAAAGTCAGGAGCTACGTCAGATGCCTGCCAAAATCTAACTACACCTTTGTTAACCATCCTCCCATATGTCCTGCTAAAGATTTATAATCTTCCCTGGAAACAAGGCACTGAAGGGAGGGGAAACTCTCGCCAGCTGCCCCTCTCATGCTATTATTTCTTAAGGAATCTATTATTTTTTCACTATTCTTAATGCTTATTAATACTAAATCTAATTCATTACTTTTCTTAAACTTATTTCTTTCACATATTATTTTTATTAAAGCTTTTAATAATCTACTAATAATAAATTTCTTTATAAAATTAGTTGTGCTATTTCAGGAGTCACAGAGAAAGATCAAAAAACTCATTAACCCAGCCCCAGAGCCACAACTGAAAAAGCGTAGAAATCTTAGAACACGTCTGTTTTCCAAGTGGGATGAGTCTGCCAGGGACCCTCCAGGGGGCGAATTTCCGGAGAACGCGTAGCACATGTAGCACGTGTAGCTACATCCCGCCCTGTAGCACGTGCTACTGTGGTGACACTGGCATGGGTGTTGGCATTCTTCAAACCACCCCGTACCAGACGGGGTTTCTCTGTGCAGCCCTGGCTGTCCAGGAGCTCACTCTGTAGACCAGGCTGGCCTTCAACTCACAGATCTGCCTGCCTCTGCCTCCCAAGTGCTGGGATTAAAAGTATTAGCCACCACTGCCTGCCATGTTCTGGTTCTTACCTGAGACAGTATTGGCATCCTGGTTGGGATATTTTGCTGGTGCATCCCAAGTACAGGACACTGAGTCAAGTGGACAATCAGTGGAGGCTTTGGAGGCAGCCATAGTTTTTCTCAGAGCTCAGCAGATCTGCACCGATCTCACAGTAGGAAGACTGGTTTGTTAATTTATTTCTTTATTTGGTGTGTTGGAGGTAGGATTCCATGTAGCCCAGGCTGTCCCTGAACTCCTGATCAAGAAATGTCAATTTTTTAAAATACAGTGAGCCAGGCCTAGTGGCAGCCAGGAGGCAGAGGCAAGTAGATCTCTGTGAGTCAAGGCTAGTAGGGTCCTCACAGTGATGAATTCCAGGCCAGCCAGCCAGGACTACATAGCAGGACTGTCTCAGAAAGAGAGAGAGAGAGAGAGAGAGAGAGAGAGAGAGAGAGAGAACATGAGATGATCCATGAGTATTCTGATGAAACAGTACTCCTGCTAGATACAGTATAATGTCTTTTTGTTTATGGTTCTAGCTTGTTTGGGGTTATTGGTAGTTCATTTGATCATTTATTCATTCAAGAAATAATTATTGTCAGATATAATGGCACACACTTCTAATATCAGCATTTGTGAGACTAATATAGGGTGGTCTTGAGTTCTAGGCCAGCTTGGGCTACAAGGAGAGACCTTGGAGAAAGAGATTGGCCCCAGGTGTGGTTGCACAGCCTTTATACCCAGCATTAAGGGACAGGGATGGGGAGATCACTTGAGCTCAGAAGCAACTTAGTCTACCTCTTGAGTCTTAGGCCAGCCAAACCCACACACTGAGACCCTATCTCAAAAAATAAAAATTTCAAAATTTAAGTATTTGTTGTGTTCTTAATCTGGCCTTGCCATCAAAGCCAAATCAACCATCCTAAAACCAAAGTTACCTGTTTGTAATTGTTTCATAATTATAAAGAACTCCACCATAGGCGATCATAGTAAATTTAGCTGCTGGTGTGCATTGTTCAAAGCCAGTTCTTTGGTATGTGCAGTTTGAAATTGGTTACCTAAGTACCCAGGGGTGTGGTAAGTTATAGGCCTCAGCTGCTAAGCAGCTAGACCCTGCTTACGTTCATCTGTGTAGACGGTTGAGTGGAATCTGTGCTGCCCACAGCACAGCCCATCCCTGGAGGGTAGGCAGACTGGACAATGTGCAGATGGGACCTGGCAGGTCCCCTCCATCTTCTCAAAGATCAGCACTTTGTCCCTGTTCCACCTAGGACTCACCTGACAACACAGAATGTCTCTCTAGAACTTTGCCGAGATGGAACTTTGAGCTTAGGGCAACTAGAGCTGATGTAGAGAGGTCAAACAGCTAATAACTTGGACTTCTCCCTTAGCCTAGAACTGGTTGTTTGTCTGACCCTGCGTTGGCGGAAGGACTTTGCATGGATTTTGCTTTGACCTAGCATTAAGGTGTCTATTGAGTGATGGTGTGTCCAACTGCTGGAATGAGATCTGACAGCCCAAGGATTAAAGGGTTTGTTTTGGTGTGGGTTGGGTTTTTCAGTGGAAGAAGGAGTAGGAGGGAAAGCCAGGGTTAGTGTACCTCCCCTCCTTCGAGTTACAGAGCTCTGGTGATCTTGATTTGAGTAGTGAGGTGAAGGAGAGGAACAAAAAGCCCTTTTGTGCCCTGAACATTGTGGGACACAAGCAAATGGCCCATTGGGGGGTACTAAGGTACTGAGGTGATCTCCCTAGAAAGTAATGTTAACATGTTGGTCCTGGAGCGGCTCACCAGTTTGTTTGATGCAGCATGTTTCTGAACCATAGCATCTCAACTGTCAGTATGTCCCTTGTTTCTCCTGGAGGTGATCCACTGAGCCTTTTCTGCTTGGCTGCTGTGGTCAGAGTGGATGCAGTAGATTCCAGACCACCTCGGGAAGACTGTAGCTGTGGCCATCCGTTCTCTAGTTGATTCTCTGCAGGTCGGGAGCTATTGGAGGGGGATGGACTTAGTGGAGTACATGGTGACAGCTGGCCCCACCCTGGGGCTGGGGAAGGAAATGGGACTTCCTCAGCCTCAGGCCCCACTTAGAGCCACCAGCCCGAGATGTCTGTCCTTGTGCAGAGGTGTGTGAACAAAGCCGCAGCAGCAAGAGAGTGATGGCTCCCAGCAGCAAACGAGAGTGGCAACTTCTTTTTTTTTTTTTTTTTTTCTTCTTCACTGTTGTCAGATTGAGTGCTGACATCCCGTTATCTCCCTGCAGTCGCAAACCATGAACTATGTGGGCCAGCTGGCCGGGCAGGTGCTCGTCACTGTCAAGGAGCTCTACAAGGGCATCAACCAGGCCACGCTGTCCGGGTGCATTGATGTCGTGGTGGTTCGGCAGCGGGACGGCACCTACCAGTGCTCGCCCTTCCACGTGCGCTTCGGGAAGCTGGGAGTCCTGAGGTCCAAGGAGAAAGTGGTAAGTCCCGTGTGCAGCCTGCTCCAGGCGGGGAAGGACATCAGTGCACCAGTCACCATGGCTCTCTGCACCCATTCTTACTATTTTTTTTAACTTGTGTGCTATTGAAGACAGTGGTAAGAAACCAGCTTTTAGGTACTGCTTTTGAAGTGGCTCCTAAATTCAAAAGACAGGAAGTTTCTCCAAATGAAAAAGAAACTGAAATTATGAAGATAATCCTACATGTTGAAACTCAGAACAAACTGAAGATAGTTAGAAACGAGGAAGTTGGGCTTTGTTTCAAAAAAGAAAATTTTCCTTTTCTGAATACAGTACTTTAAAACCATATAGGGGTGGGGCAGCAGGATGGCTCTGTCAGTCTGGCCATCAATCCTGATGACCCTCTGAGACCACAGGGTAGAACAGGAGAACATACTCAAAATTTATCCACTGACCTCCACGCGTGACTCACATGCACACTTTACACCAAAAATGAAAACTGCAGGCTGGAGGTGTACATCAGTCACTGTATGTTTGCATAGCGTGACAAAGCCCAGCTGAGCACTGAGGAGGAGAGGCAGGGCCAGAGGTCAGGCCAGCCTCAGCTCAGCCAATCTGAGGCCAGCCTGAGATACCGGAGACCCTGTGACAGACAGACAGCAGACAGGACAATACTGTTACACTGGTTATGAGTAAGTAGACTGAGCTCATGTAATCAAGTGTACATTGTGTTACACTGTAGCACAATGCCCCAATTGGATGTTCATATTTTTTCTCTTTTGTTTTTATAGTCAGGGAAATGCTGTTTGGGTTTTTTAAAATATCTTCTCCCTAGAGTATTGGGCAATAGGAAAGTTTTTGAAGAGTGTGTGTGTGTGTGTGTGTGTGTGTGTGTGTGTGTGTGTGTGTGTGGTGAGTTTTAAAATGCATTTGGCCACTTTTCACACACACATACTTGCTGACACAGGTGGAAATGTCTGTGTTAAAGGACCAACAAGTGTAAGAGGGAGTTTTTTGCTATTTTGTTTTTTCTTTTTTGTTTTTTTGATACACATTTTCCTCTGCTTAAGCTTAGATTTTTTTTGTTTGTTTGTTTTGTTTTGTTTTGTTTTTAAGTGAAAGAAAATGGGTTTTACCAGACTAGACTCTTTTTTTTTTTTCTGAAAACATATTTTTTGGGTGTTAAAAGTAATTTTCCTCTGGATTTTCCAGACTAGCCTTTGCTTATCATCATTTAGAAAGCAAAGGCAGCTACAGTTTTACTTCTTGACTTGGCAGCTTCCATTTTAGGGCAGTGTTGTGCAGCCATAATTACCAGTTAGTGCCTTTGGTAATTGTATTCTTTGTACTTTTTGTAGTGACACTATTAGTAATTTCAGATTGGAGCTGGTCCGAGGGGGCCGAAACCATTTGTGCCCTGCACGTTCTCATTAGCTGTTCTCCTCCCCCCCAGCACACCCCACCACTCCCTGGAGCCAGGTTTCTAGTTGATAGGTTGGCTCTGTCTTTGGGGCCTCTCAGGTGGGGCTGCGGTAGACGTGTCTAAGCACGTTCTCTGTGAGGAGGAGCTGGTGGGGTGCGCTCTCTGCTTGCCTTGTAGTCACCATTTGACTTCCTTACTGGTTAATTTCATTGACTAGGAACGGTTAAGTACCCAAAGTTAAATACCTTGTGAAGATGCCAGTACTTTTAGGAGCATAATACATAGGGCACAAGAAAAGAAAATTTCTTGTTTCCTGTTCCCTGAATCTCAGGGGGTATATTTGAGAAGAAACTAGTCCTATGATTTGCCAAAACACAGCTTTCTTATGACAGTAAAGCTTAAGCCACATCTACCTTAAGATACACTGATAATTCACATCAACTTCTTGTCTCTACTCTTTTTGGATTAGGGTAAGCTATTCATTTATTCTTTTTTAAGATTTATTTATTTATTAGTTATTATTATACAATGTTCTGTCTACATGTACACCTGCACGCCAGGACACCAGATCTCATTATAGGTGGTTGTGAGCCACGATGTGGTTGCCGGGTATTGAACTCAAGACCTGGAAGAACAGCCAGTGCTCTTAACCTCTGAGCCATCTCTCCACCCTTAGTCATTGATTTTTAAACTGACAAATTTTCAAATGTGGTGACACCCGAGAAACAGACCTGAAATCATAACTACCTTAAAACTACTGTTTAGAGAGACAATTGTTTTTGATGATGTAGTCTTGTTTGATAGACCGTCCTATTATGTAACTCGGGAGTTAGTTGATCATTCACAAAATTGATATTATGATTATTTATTAAAGGAAAATGTCCAGGGTATTAGAACTGACCTCAACATGGGCGATAAAACTCCACCTGCTGCTGTCATAAGCAGAAAAGCTCGTGAACCCAAAGTCCAGGGTCATCTCTTTTGGCCAGTGCCAGTTTAGGAAGGTTTTAGCGATGCTGCCAGGGTTTTGGTTTCCCACCTCAGAGTCCTGCCTCTGGTTGTTTAGGTTCTTTCTCATGCAGCAGTAGTGGACCTAAGTTTGATTCCCAGATTCCATATAAATGTTAGGCATGGTTGCGTGTGCTTCCTGTGTCAGCTCTGGGGAGAGAGGGAGAGACAGACAGACAAATCCCTAGGGCTTTCTGCCTTAGTTAATCCCTACTCCCAGTGAGAGGCTTTGTCGCAATAAGGTGATCAATGCCTAAGAACTTAGAGTCTGAGGTTGATCTCGGACTTCCATGCACACTCAAACACGTATACACCCTCACATACACAAAGATGTACATCTGTATACATGTATGCACGTGTACAAGCTAGATGTGGTTTTGGCTATATGCCCACTAAGCTTCACCGTGTGGCTGACTGAATAACAAACCCAGGGGCCACTCACCAGCAGAGCCCACGGAATACCAGTGATCGCTCAACTGGTCCTGACAACATCTGCTATTGCGCAGTGACCTGGATTAGAAGGTACTAGCAGGGAATATGCTCACAGCTCAGCACTAGGGTTACTGACACATTTGAGTGCGGAATTCTGCAAGACAAAGCTTGGGCAGTGCAGAAACGTTTCTCCCATTTCACAGTATTTGGAAGGTTAAGCTGGGAAGGGTGGCTCAACCATGCCACTACCACACTTGAAAAATCTGAGGCAGAATTGCTGCAAATTCAAGATCAGGGCAGGCTATAGAGCAAGACCTTGTGCTCCAAAAAGAAAAGAAAATTGAGAGATGAAGCAATACACTTTTAAAATGCTATGAAAATAAATGCAAAAACATTTTTTTCAGCCCCTGGTTACCTGTCTATCCCATTGCCCAAGTTTACTTCTTTTTCAGGGTGGGGAGATGTCTGTGGGGCTGATGACAGTGTTTCTGGGGCTGCAGCTCTAGAAACCCAGTGTCAAGTTTGGCCTGAGAGCCTAGAATTTAGGCCTAGGTCAGCCTAAATGAAACACTTTTTTTTTTTTTTTTTTTTTTTGCTAAATTACTTGTTTCCTCCTTAGATTGATATAGAAATCAATGGCAGTGCTGTGGATCTTCACATGAAACTGGGAGATAATGGAGAAGCCTTTTTTGTCGAGGAGACTGAAGAGGAATATGTAAGTTCTCAAAGCCCCTGTGCACATTGTGTCAGGCTTCTAGAGCATGTCTCAAAACAACTGCTCCTCTCTTTTCATGATTGTGTGAATGATTATTGGCTAACCAAGCTTTCATCGTATGTTGAACTTATCTTTCCCAAAGATCTCACACCAGCTTTCAGGGTATGGAGAGCATGCAGAAAGCTGCTGATGTACTATCAAGAGGCTTTCCTGCTTCATGCCCATCATTGCTTATGGCTTGACTTGAATTTAGTCAGTTCTGCCTCAAGGCACATCTCTTTAGACTATGTCTGACTATGTACATATGTGACTTTTAAATTTAGAAGACCAGAGAGATAGCTCGGTGGGTAAAGGCACATTCAACATAAGCCTGACAAGCTTGAGTTTGTTATCTAGAGCCACATAAATATGGAAGGAGGAACTTCTCCACAGAGTCGTTCACTGATGCTAGGCTGATATCATGTTGCCCCCCCCCCCACAACCCCTGTACACACACACACACACACACACACACACACACACACACACACACACAAATAACAGTTTTAAAGAATGATTCCCTTTGGTTAGGAATATTATATTCATGACCTTAAGAGCCACTGAGTTATGATGACAGGAGATTTAAATTAATTAGCCTATGTGTTTTCATATATTAGTGCATATTTGGCCTCTTCTACAAGACGGCATAGTCTATGTAGGTCCCCTGACTTGTGTGCTCCCAGGCACACACAACCTACTTTGAACAAAAACAATGTTTTTATGCTGTCAGTGTGGCTCTTTTCTAAGAAAAGACATAAGCATCATTATGTCTTTTTCCATATGAAGTTAAATCTTACAGCAAAAATAAGAAGCTTCAAGGTATTAGGATACAGAGGCTTTTTGGCTTTGAAGGTCAGCTACTAATTTGATGTTGTGAATTCACAAAGAAAAGAATGACACTAGATGAAAAATGAGTTTATTGTGTTTGGTTTTTAGCTTGGGCCAGAGTGCCATGCAGGTGCTGCTCTGGGACACCTCATCAGCTCCTGTTCTCCTGGACAGACCTCTCTGCTATTACCTCACTGCATGTGCACAGCCTGCACAGAATTTCAGGAGCAGTGAGAAGCATAGTAACTAGTAGCTGGTATGAGATAAAAGTATTTTTGATGTGTTTATGAAAAGCAAGCATAATCCTTATCTTTTATTAGACCTGGGTTGTGCCTTGCTTGGTGGCAGGTACTGCCAATATTCTGTTTAAAACCTGCCTTAGCAAGGGAAGAAAAACTTTAACACTTTATCTGTTCCATATGCAACTGAATTGACCAGATTTCTCTGCACTATAGTAAGTTCTAGGACAGCCAGAGCTACATAGTGGAGCCCTGTGTCAAAAAACAACAGTAATACAATAAAAATTATAAAATGTCATAATTCATCCAGCAAATATTAGAATTGCTAGTTTTGACACATACCATGGATAAAATAATAATAAAATCCAGACCTGCTTTTGAAAGGGATTAAAAGTTAACAAACCCTTATTAAAGGCACAGTTTACTTAGTTTTTTGTTTCTCTGCCTTTTTCTTAGTGACTGTCCATCATCAACATCCCTTCTCCGTCAGAAATTCTGAGCAACCCCTTTTTAACGGCTGCACAGTTTCCATCGTGTGCATTTACTGGTTTATTTCACCATTGTCTTATTGGTAGATATCTTTACTGGATTTCTAATGCTGTGATCGATACCGTGAATTTATTTCACCTTATAGCTTACTTCCTGATGGGAAGTCAGAGCAGGAACCTGGAGGCAGAAACTAAAGCAGAGGCCATGGAGAATCACTGCTTACTAGCTTGTTCCTCGTGGCTTGCTTTCCTGTATGACCCAGGACCACCTGCCCTCCCTGGGCCGGGCCCTCCCACATCAGTTGTTAATGAAGAAAATATGATGGAGGCAATTTGTCAGGTATTCCTTCTTCCCAGATACTTCAGGTTTGTGATGAGTTGGCAAAAACCAACCAGCATAGACATGCAGGAGCTTTCTGCCTCACCCCAAGCACTCCTGTGACAAAACTAGAAGATACAACCAAAAGCCAAAGCAACCGGTATATAACAAAACCCATTAATGAAACCTCTGGAAGTCAGGGCACATCAGCGTCATCCAGGTGCCACAGTTGTGTGTTGGTGGTGAGCCTGGTAAACAAAACGTGCAGCTTCAGGGTGTTTACCAAATCCAAGTTGAATATTTTCCATATTTTAGTGTGTTCAGTTGTTTTCTGAACTGTTGTATAAAAATTTGACCATTTTTAAATTATGAAGTTAATTTATGCCATCTTACCTACCTCTCCTTTCTTCTTAGTATACAAAAGAGTAAAACTGAAACAAATGGCCAAGAAGTTCACTAGATTTAATTGATTTAGTACTAAGTTGGAAGTTTAGTTATTTTAAATATTGGGCCATCTTTTCTTCCTTTGAGTCCCTGAAAGGCTATTTGGAGTGAAATTCACTGATCTCATTTATGGTAGGGTCTCACATCTTTTGCAGTCACTTTTCTCACCCCCCACTTGTTTGGCCACTTGGCTCTAAATCTTACTAGTTCGTGTCCTCCCTCACCTGCCCTGCTGCCCCTGTCGGGTGTGTCCTTGACTTGGTCCCTGGTTCATCACGTTCTTCCCGTTGTATCCAACCTAGTAGTACTTGGCATGCTGTTGCCGCTTTGCCAGCCTTTGCACAGAACTTAGTTGGCTCTGCTTTCATTGCAGCTTTTGTGTGTCCTTTGCTGAGTTGGCAGAGTAGTTCCTGCAAATGTACATGCTGGAAAAAAAAGTTACACACTGAAATGAGCTAACGCTTGCTTGACCCGGCAGGTGACAGCCTTACCTATACACACAATGCCTTCCTACCCCTGTGAAAGTTGTGTTCTCGAGGAATTAAATATTGCTTTGGTAACTGTCCAGTTTGTCATGGATAACTTCTCTCTTATTCTTTAAGGAAAAACTACCTGCTTACCTTGCCACCTCACCAATTCCTACTGAAGACCAGTTCTTCAAAGATATTGATACCCCTTTGGTGAAGCCAAGCAGAGATGAAAGGCCACCGCAGAGTGCAGACATTTCTCACACCTTGGAAACAGAGACAGTTTTCACTCCAAGTTCTGTGAAAAAGAAGAAACGAAGGAGAAAGAAGTGCAAACAAGACAATAGGAAGGAGGAGCAGGCAGTTTCTCCTGTTGCAGAAGATGTATTTGTGGGTGTGAGCTCTGATGAGGAGAAGGGGCCCCAGGCAGCAAGGTGGGTTCCCAGACTGGACAAGGGCCTCTATGGGCCAGTGCTTGCTGAGCCCTGGGTACGCAGTAAGAGGCCGGGGAGCCTGGAAACTGCTGCTGTCTCAGGTGTGTATAGGGTCTGTTTATTGTGGAATCGAGGGAGAAGCGCCACAACACCCTTACTGTTCGAGCTTTGGGTATGCTACTAAAATGTTCGCTGCAACATCTTCCCATTGTCTGCTCGGTTTCGTTGGGTGAGCAGATTCAAGTGAGAGCATTATATTTCAGTTGGGCAGCTTTCCAACCTTTGCCCCCCCAACTCCCTCCACACCTTTCCTGTCCCTTTCTTCTCTCCCCACTTCTCCCTCCCCTACTTGCCCATCCCTCCCCTTCCCTTCCTCATCCCTTCCCCTCCCTCTCTTTCCTTCCCTTCCTACTCTGTTCTTTCTCCTCTTTCCTTTTTTACTTTCTCTTCCTTTCACAGAGTCTCTTTGTGGAGCACAGGTTGGCCTCAAACTCATAATCCTCCCGATTCCAACTCCTGAGTACTGGAATTGGTGGATGTCACTATACCTGGCAACCATACTCAGGATCTTGTATTTGATATTGAACCTTTTCCTGAGAAACTGGGAGTTTTGTTTTGAGTTTATGAGCAAAATACCCTATTAGGTTAAAGACTTTCTTTTTTTAATCACCACTTACATACCAGTCAATAGAAATTTCAAATTATGCCACTTTTCAAGCGAGCACTGTCCAGAATTTCAAGGCAGCAGTTTATGGCAGACTGTACAGTTTTTCTCACATGAGACAGGATTTTCTTACACCTGTATGACCCAGTGGTCACCCAAACACCGGCTCTCTTGATGGCAGCTCTTAGACAGAGGTTGCTGCCCACAGGTGGCCTGCATGTGGCATCCTTTACTGAACGGGGAAGGACTGAGAGCATTGCTGACCCATGTGGGTATTTCAGCTCAGCTGCTGGAAGGGTATGACCCACTTGTCTGGAAAGTGGTGCTAGTGAAGTACTCCTGTCAGTCAAAGAAGGGAAGGGGAGGCCGGTGCCCACCTGCGATCCCAGCACTCGGGGAGGCAGAGGCAAATGGATCTCTACAAAGTGAGTTCAGGACAGCCAAGGCTACACAGAGAAACCCTGTCTCGAAAAACAAAACAAAAATTGAAGTACAATTTATAGGCATTTACATTTACAGAGACAGAGCCTCAGTCCGTAACCCTCCCCCTCTGATCTGGGGCTCACTGTAAAGACCATGCTGACCTATTACTCAGAAATTCACCTGCTTCTGCCTCCCAAGTCTGGAATTAAAGGTGTGTGCCACAGTGCTTGGCTTAATTTTTTTACCTTTTTTTTATTTTATTTTCTGAATTTAGTATGTGTGTATCAGTATTTTGCCTGTGTGTATATCTCTGCACCACATGCATGCCTGCTGCCCATGCCCAGAAGAGGGCATCAGATTCCCTGAAACCATAGTTACACATGGTTGTGAGCTGTCCTTCATATGATTGCTGGGAATCGAACCCAGGTACTGAGCCCTCTCTCCAGCTTCAACTTTCTGTTTCTTAGAGAAAATTTACCATTCGATTTATTTATTATTAAATAATGATTCTTCCCTGGTGTCTGTGTAGGAATGTTTCTTTTCCTCTTGAGTGAGATTGTGTGGAGAGTAATCCTAGAGGAAAGATTTCATTAAGGAGAACCTTTAATGAACAGGACGCTCTTAAAAGATGCATACATTCATATATCTTAAGTGACATATCTATACGTGAAGGCTGTGTCAAAGAAGTAACAAAAAGGATGTTACCACAGGGGAAGTAAAACTGAACAACAAAAGGCACTTTTCCTTCTCTGCTCTTAGCCCAACAAGCTAAGTGGTGTGATGCTGATCTGCATTGAGGGCGCTGTCGGAGCTTGGGTGCTCTGTGCTTTTCAGAGTGTTCAGTGAGTCCCACATGCTCTCCCTTATAACCTCATTGACTGAGGAGTAGACAGGATGTGTGATACATTTTCTAAACATAAAAATTTAGGTTGTGGCTTTTTTACTTTGAACATAAACTTAAACTTCGGGACCTTTTACTAACTTATTTAAATGAACTTCTACCGCCTTAAATTTTAAAGAACTCATGAATGGCAGCCAGTGAGAAACACTGCTGTGTTGTCAGCATAAGCATAGTGGGGAGGATTGATCCCAACATTCATGAATGCCAGGCAAGCACTCTACCATGAAGCCATACCCCCACCCTGTCAGGAATTTCTAATCCGATTTCTTTTCTGTCCTTCTATTATATACCACTGATTACTGTAGTGAGTGGTGGGTGGCTTTGGTTACTTCTCGTTCATATTAGCCATTTAAAAACATTCTACTCTTCTTGCAGCTTTCTATTAGGAGATTTGTCAGTAGGTTGGGGACCCATTTTAAAGCTGACCTATCATTCCTGCCCCACTGTTTTCCCCTTCAGAGGATCTTCAAATGCTTCCTTAAAGGAAGAAGACCATAAGGAGCCTACCATCTTCCGTTCTGGGGATCACTACCCCTTATCTGATGGAGATTGGTCCCCATTAGAAACGTGAGTATCTTTGAAATTTCTGTTTGCTTAAGTGAAGGGGGCCACATATCAGTGACTTTTATGTTACTTGATAGTAATACCACTTTCCATTTGTGTAATAGTAAACATTTGGTAAAATTTAACATGAAAATGAACTGTTCGAAGCAATCATTTGATCCTAAATTTAATCCTATTCTAATGATGTTTACCAGTTGTAAATTTGAATAGTCAGCAGAGAATTAGTAGATAATTGTGAGCTGCCGTGGGGTTGCTGGTAATTGAACCCAGGTCCTCCAGCTCTTTACCACTGAGCTATTTCTCCAGTCCCAGATTAACTGATTAGTAAGCCCACCTTCCTGCGTGTTTTGTGTTTTCTGTGTTATGAAATTGCCTGTATCATTGGTTTCCTCTGAGAAACAAACAAATAATACATACCATGAAGGATCTACAAGGGAAGCTCCTTAACAATCACTACCTGGCATTTTTATTTTATTAAAGAACTCAGTGGAATACGTAATTGATGTTTTCTTCAGGGGAGTGTTTGTACCGGTAGCTGACATATTCACACTTACATTACTTCTCTCTGTGCTCTGACGCTCTCCAACAGTGAAGCCTTGTTTCCCCTTGTGTTCACAGCACTTATCCCCAGGCCGTGTGCCCTAAGAGTGATTCCGAGCTGGAGGTGAAGCCAGCTGAGAGCCTGCTCAGGTCTGAGTCTCACATGGAGTGGACCTGGGGCGGGTTCCCAGAGTCTACCAAGGTACTGTGGTTTGCTGGGGAGATTGGATGTGTCTGATTAAACACTAGCAAAGAGTATTTACCTCTGTTCAATGAGGGAAGTGGCGTTGCCCTCTTGTGGTTGAAAAAGTAAATAAAAATTAACATGTCCGTAACATTTCCACTGTACATTTACTTGTAACTGGAGGAATCCAACATTTTTTTTTGTTTCTATCTAACAAATAATGCTAATTACAGATAAATAGAGAAAAAAATAAAGATACTTAAAGGAAACTAGAGCGTCCACACTGTAATCTCAGTCACTGAAGTTAGGGTGGGGCATAGTTCGGTTGGTAATGATTTGTCTTCCATGCTCAGGATACTGGGTCCTGCCTGTCCCCAGCATCTGGGCAGGAAGAAATTCATAAAACATTTCAGCTGTTCATGCTGAAAGAATAATATACTGAAAGTTCCATTTCGTGAAAGGAAATCATTTAAATCCCCTGTTGAATTCAGTTTTGTTGAAACAGAAATGTTCTTGATTGTTTAAGTTGCTGTAAGAAGCACTGTGGTCTTGTTAGTAGAATCAAGGTCTCATGTATACTATAAGCTCTCAAGGTGGGCGTTCTCTGCCTTAGACTCTGAAAATTGTCTAGATTTTTCCAATGTTTGACTCTCGTGCTAATAGTTATGAATGTAACTGTCTTATAAACATCATGACATTGATCAAATTAGTTACTCTGCCATATGTGGCCTATTTCACATATAGTCAGCTAGTGTGTTACCATATAAATAAAATAAACCATAACAAATACGTATGAAGTTAAATTTTAAACTATTCACTTTTGCAGGTCAGCAAGAGAGAAAGATACGACTATCATCCAAGAACAGCTACAATTACGCCATCAGAAAACACTCATTTTAGGGTAATTCCCAGTGAAGACAGCCTCATAAGAGAAGTTGAGAAGGATGCTACTGTTGAAGATACCGTTTGTACCATAGTGAAACCCAAACCCAGAGCCTTGTGTAAGCAACTGAGTGATGCAGCTTCTGCTGAACTTCCTGAAGCACCTGTGGAGGCTCCTCAGATTTCATCTATATTAGATGCAGACCAAGTTCCCTGCTCATCCTCAATAGAGGCTCCCGCAGAACCCAAACCAGCTGCTAAAGTTGACTCTCCAACAAAGAAGAGAGGTAACTGCTTGACATTGCACACTGTCCAGTGTAGATAGGGCATTGTTTCACTGTTTCGTGTGCTAGGTGATAGCTGCCTGTGTATTTGTGATCTCCAGACAGAACCTGTCCTGATTTCATTGTGGATTCTTTACTCTCTAAAGTCCACCAGAACAAAACTTTAAACTTTGTTACTTTTGGTCTTCTGAGTCAATACTCAGTAGGTCTTTAAAGAAGTGTTTATTAGAGCTGGAGAGATGGTTCTGTGATTAAAAGTCCACTGAGTGCACTTTGAACAGATTGGGTTCAATTCCCAGCACCCACATGGCAGCTCAGAACTAAACTCCCAAGATCTGACACCCTCACACAGACAGACATGTGTGAAGCAGGAAGACACTGAAGTGTATAAATACAAAATAAATCATACCCAGGCGTGGTGACACACACCTTAAAAAAAAAATTACTAAGAAGTAAATGAATGAGTTCCAACCAGCTGGTGAGTGTAGTGACAATACTACAGTTGTCAACACAGAGAATTCATATGTGCATATGTGTATTCCCCAAGTATACTCAGCATCTCTGCAAACTCAGGTCTCACCAACATTCATGTGCTGTCTTGAATTAACTAAGAATGTTAGTGAGTGAAATCTTAAATGGCCGTTTGATTAAGTAGAAGTAAAAAATGAACAGAGAAAAAAAAAAACGTTTTCTTGACACCTGTTAGCTGAAACAAAATTAAATCTCTTGTATGTTTTGTATGATTTAAAAGCAAATGTCTACCAGAGGCTGATTACTACCACCCACATGGCAGCTAATAACCATCTGTGGTTCTAGTTCCCGGAGACTCAACACCCTCTCTGGCCTCTGTGGGCACTAGGCACATAGTCATATATCAGGCAGAATGCCCATACACCTAAAATAAATAAAAATAAAAATATTTTTTAAGTCCACTAATTATCAGTGCTTGCCCCCCACACACTACTTTTCCTCCTAAACTGGTGTGGAAAATGAGGAGCCCAGCCCAACAAACAATGCTCTTAGTTGTTTCAGATCAAGCTTGATACTAAGTGACACACAGTTACCCAGCTAAAGCCATAGACTACACAGTCTGAATGCTGTCTCGGAGTCTATCTCGAAGGAAGTAAAACCTTACCTTAAACCACCTATTATACTCAGCTACTACATTTTGAAGGAGGGAAAATGAAAAGGAACACCAAACGTTCCATTATCACAAAATGATACAGGTTCAAATCATTCAGAAATAACTTGTCCAGCATAAGAGTGTGGCTGTCAAGGGTGTTTGTGCCCAAATCTGACATCCTGCTGAAAGAGGTTTTCACTGAAAGGCTGCGTACTGTTTGTTCTGTTCTCAAGACTGTTAAGGAACATAACCAGTTCTGGTATGGTGCGTGCAGGAATTCACAGGAGCTTAGAATGGTTTCCTGCCATCTCTGGCTTTATTCTCTCCACACACACCCCCCCAAGCTTTATTATGAAAGTTTTATACATACTGTGGTGCATTCCTTAATGGCAGGGAGGTTGTCTGAGAAGTACATTACTAGCACTTTAGTACTGTGTGAACTTCACGGTGTTTTTATACAGTGTAAATCAATTGACCTGGCCCCTTACTGCACTCAGGAGATGAGGGAAGAGGAAGTGCTGTGGCCAGTATAGGACGACACTTGGGATTTCAGTAGGTAGATGGGAGTGTGCCTTAAAGTGATGATAGATAATTTATAACCCAGTCACTTTCGTCATTATCAAGCGTATTCTGTATGTAATTGAATTGCTGCCTAACACAGGGCTAGCAACGCCATGCAAGTGTTTATGCCGCCATCATTGCAAACATGCTATGTTACCCAAGATGCCTTGCTGTCACCAGGTGGGAGAAATTTTCAGGTGCAGTGTGATATTTGGGACTAGCATTGTGTATGCATCCACAAGTGTCATTGTGTGGTACAGTGCACAGCTGTGTCTCCGTGTCCTCTCTCGACTCCCTCCCTCCCTATCTCTTGACTTAGAAACAGGAAGCCCCTGGACACCTAAGTATAATCTGTGGAACCACAGTCCCATCGGCAGACACAGAGGAAGGGAGAAACCGCATAAGTGAGGACAAGGACAAGGCAGCAAGCATGCTAGGGGCCTTGCTGTAGGCACATAGTGGCCCATCTTGTTTAGAAAACTTTATTTTATGGCAGAATTGTAAACAGAGAATAATTCTTACCTCTGATGTGTCTCTCTTTTAATAACAGGTGTTCACAAAAGAAGTCAGCACCAGGGACCTGATGACATTTACCTCGATGACTTGAAGGCTCTGGAGCCGGAAGTGGCAGCGCTCTATTTCCCTAAGAGGTGTGTATGCTGCGCACCGAGGAGACAGCTTGAGATGCTTGTGCACTGAGGAGGGGACAGCTTGAGAGACTCCAGTAGTGTCATCTGAGCAAGAGGAGTGATTGTCTTTCAGTTAAATCTGTTCATTTCTTCTGGTTTGGGAAGCTCATAAATAGTGTGTGTTGCTTTGACTGTACGGACTGGAAAGTACTTGTTTACGAAAACATTTGGTACAGTAGAGAGAGAGACAGGTGAAAGTGCTTGACATTAGAATTTAGTGCTCCCTGCCCCGTGTGTGTGTGTGTGTGTGTGTGTGGTGCCCATGCACAGTGCACATTCACAGAGGTCAGAGGACAGTGGAGTCAGCCCTTTCTCCACCATGCGGGCTGCAGGGACCAAGCCGAGGCTGCCAAGCTCTGACGGCACTTTTACCTGTGCCGCCCTGCAGCAGTGGCTTAATAACAAACTGAACATACCTGAGGAAAGTCTTTGGCGTTTGTTTTATTTAGGTATGTGCTTTAAAATGATACATTTCAATTTTCAAACATTCTACAAAGAATTTCTTAACGCCTTGAAAGAGTGTAAAGCCAGTTCTGAACTTGAGTCTTAATAGGCCCCATTCTGGGGGACGCTGTGGCCTCATACAGCCTGCAGTTCTACCATGTCACAACACCATTCTACCCGTCCCTCGTTATGTTAAAGCAACTTGCTTGTGAGCTTCAACACGCTGTACATTTGACTGTCTTCCCATAGTCGCGTTAACCTTAGAGGAATTACTACCTAATACACTGGCTATAAAACCCAGTTTATTTTCTTCTCAGAAGGAAGGGGCCTTCTGAGCCTTCTACACAATTATATTCTTTCAAATGAGTTACTGAGAAAACAAACTTTATTTTTACCTGGAGTGGAAAAATTAGATTGACATAAATATATTTAATATTTTTAACAGGTATTTTTGGGAGGTTCTTCAGGTTTCTTCCTAACTCTGCAACATAAATTATCTTAAAATACCACCATGCTTCATTGAAGTAATAGGTTTTTAAAGATGAAAAATTGGAAATTGCTCTATTTTTTTTAAGGGTAGGAAATGTAATGTCTTACTTTTTCTCATGTTTCCCAGACCTTTTACTTTACTTTTATACTAGATTTTTTAAATACCCCTTTTAAGAAATAGAGAACAAGGCCGGGCATGGTGGCACACACCTTTAATCCCAGCACTTGGGAAGCAGAAGCAGGTGGGATCTCTGAATTTGAGGCCAGCATGGTCTACATAGCTAGTTTGAGGACAGCAGACAGCTATATAATAGAGAAGGTCCGTCTCAACAAGCCGAAAAGAAAGGGGGGAGGGGTAGAAAGACACAGTCACTGTCGCAGTCCCGGCTGTAGTTTACGGGGTGGGACCCTGTCTGTTCATTAGCCACACTCAGCGAAAGGACTGACCGTGGGATGTGTCCCCGTGTGCTTTGGTGTGGTTGTCCCTCCCTCCCTGTTACTAACTGTCCTGGTTTACCCAGCTACACTTTGACACGTGTCCCATCGTCCTGTGCCTCTGGCAGCGTGCTGAGTCAGATGCATCCCTCATGACACCAGCTGCCGAAGCTGATAAGCACCGTGCCTTACTTAGGGCAGCGTCCCAGCACTAGCGTTAGTGGGAGCCCCCACACAGGAGCAGAGAGGGACAAGAGAGAGGCTGGGGGGGGTGCAGCTTAGTCAGGTGGCTCTGGGAGACCTCGTCTGGTCTGATCCAAGTGTGGGTGTTGCCTCTCTGCCCTTCCCTGCATGGGTTTGCTGCACAGCCATATCTCAGGGGGCGTGGCTTTCTAACCATTTCTAAGAAAGAGACAATTTCTCCATCAGTTTCATGTCAGTTTGGAAGTTATGTGCATTACTATAAAGAGGAAATTTCCCCCAACCTGAAACTACTTCCTACTAGGAACATGTCTGTGTGTCTGCACTTTGCTGTTGCCTACCACTCAACTTTTAGATGGTTTGTTGTTTTTGTTTTTTTTTTTTTTTTTCAGAAGTTCATGTTAATTTCACCAGATGTGCTATGTTTTGTTTTGCTTTAATAAAACTTAAAAAAAAAAAAAAAAAAAAAAAAAAACATTCTTGGGTTAGGGATGTGACTTAGTGGCCGATTACCTGTCTCACACACATGAGGGTCCTGAGTTCAATTCCCAGTATTAAAAAAAAAAAAATTCCTAGCCTTTAGGAAGAATTTGAACATCTCAAATATTATACTAAATATTCACCAAAGTTTAAAATCCTTAATGTTTGTGACAAAGAAGTGGAATGTGCCATTTCCTTGTTCACATGTAGGTTCCTTTACAAAGGCTTTCCAGACCTTCTGTGCGTTGTCTAGAAACACCCACATCACACAGGAGGGTCCAGACCTCAGTGCTACAGATGGTCTGTTTCTCTAGATGCTTCAACTCCTGAGTGCTTTTCTCTCGAGTAATTCCCGCCTCTTAAGTTAGTTTTAGAGTACTATCATGAAGTTAGAAAAAGCCTTGGGGTTTGGAGGGCCGCTGTTTTCAGAACAGCCTTGGACCCAGTCATTTTCTGCTTGGTATATATTACCATGCCTTCTTTCCTAGAATGCAGCATCAAAGGGCTTCCAAATGTCAAATTTTTAACTGTCCTGTTATTTCATCATGGCAATTTAAGTAAGTGCTTGTAATTCTTTTATTCCTTTAGCTATAGTCACAAAGCCCCAGTTTAATGGTTGGCACTATCGTGAGTGGCTTTGTGAAGTGTTTGCAACATTCACAGTTAATTTTTTTATTCTTTAGAATTCAGATTTTCACTGATGTCATTTAAGATCTGATTTTTAAGCACATTACTTTAAAAACCTATAGAGAGTGGGGTCATTTGGGAAGACGGCTTGGTGACCAAGAGTGCTTGCAGTGAGAAAGTGTAGGAACCTGAGTTCAAATCCCCAGCACCCACATAAAAAAGGCGTGACTGCTTCACATGCCAGCAACTGCAGTATTGGGTGGTGGAGATAGGCAGATCTAGAGCTCCCTCTGGTTGACCAGCCTGGCCCAGATGCCGAGCCTGCGGTTGAGGGAGGGAGGAACCTGATTTAAGGCAGATAAGTCTGAGTGAGAGAAGACACCTGACACCGTGCTCTGGCTTCTCCAGGTGTGTGTGCTATCCCGTGCCCACAGGCATGCACATACCCTCATTCACCCCAAGTCGGGTTTCATATCTAGCCCTCCCTCTCAGGGGATAAGCAGTTTTGATCTGAGACCCTAGAGAACCATATACTAAGCCAATAATAATAATAATAATAATAATAATAATAATAATAATATATGGCTATGACAAAATAAACACCTGTTCCTGCTTTCTTCCCTCTGCCACAGTGACACTGACCCAGGCTCTAGGCCGTGGCCTGAGGCTGACACGTTCTCAGGCTCTCAGTCCCCACAGTCTGTGGGGAGTGCAGCTGCAGACAGTGGCACTGAGTGCCTCTCTGACTCTGCCATGGACTTGCCGGACGTCACTCTCTCCCTCTGTGGAGGCCTCAGTGAAAATGGAGAGATTTCTAAAGGTATGCTGGACAGCTGGGCCTGGTCATCACTTGGTTTAAAGTCTGTCCTTGTGCACAGACCTCCGTTCAGTAAATTACTGGTGTGTGGGGGGGGGAACTACTGAGAAAGCTAGCTTTAAACATTTAATGGTGTTTAAATTCTCCGCCGGCCTTGTGTGAGTGTGGGGTACTTTTCCATGAAGCCACACCCTTAGAACCTCACCCTTAAAGGTTCTGGGTTATCTCACTGTGCCTTTGTGTGGGATAGTTTTGTGAGCACCTCTACCCTGAAGCCTGAGTCACTCTCAGAACTTGATAACTGACAAGCTGTGCTGTCCGCAGAGCACTGGGGTGGGGTCACAATGCATTGACGCTGCTTGCGTGTAAAGTTGCTGAAGTATCTGTGGGGGTGGGGGCCCCCACTGCCTTCCTGACAAACATGAGGACTCTGTGTAGTGTGGGTCGTGAGGCTGTGGGACAGCGGCTGTCCACTGAGTACACAGTGCCAGGATTTCTGGCAGAAAGTAGGGTTACCTCTGTCCCATGTTGCTCCACCTTTTGTTTGCCCACCTCCTGTGGGTAGAGTGAAGGCAGAGCCTTGGGCTTGCTCCACAAGTCGTGCATCTTAGCTACACCTAATCCCTCCTTACTTTAGTGTCAGTAACAACTGAGCTGCCTAGGTCAGCCTGCGTAGTCCAGGCAGATCTGCTTCCCTCGGTTTTCATGCCTCTTACAACTTTATATTCATTTTAAATTAAGCTTTTTTCTCAATTTGGCCACTGGCCTGTTGTAGCTTTTTCTAAAAGGCAAGGTTTCCTTCCCAAGAAAAACACCATCACTTCAACACTGTCCTTGCTCTCCTCTCCTTCAGAGAACAAAGACGTGAAGAAACGCTAGGTGAACAGAGCCCTGCAGCTGCCTCAAAATGGCAGCTGGGTGCAGTGAATGTTAGAACATAAAGGGTTGTGGGGTTTTGTTTTGTTTTATTTTTGTTGGGGTTTAGTTTGTTTGAATCCTAGCAATATGATAGTGTCTTTACTAAATATGGAAAATATAGCTTTTTTAAAATTTAATTTATTTACTTATTACAGTTTATTCACTTTGTATCCCCACAGCACTACCTCGTCTTCTCCTGGGTCCACCCATCCAGTCTTCTCCCTCTATGCCCTAGTCTCCTGATAGGGGAGGTCCTCCTCCCCTCCTATCTGACCCTAACCTATCAGGTCTCATCAGGACTGGCTGCATTGTCTTCCTCTGTGGCCTGGCAAGGCTGTAAACCCCCCCCCCCCAGGGGGGGCGGGGAGAGATAATCAAAGAGCCAGCCACTGAGTTCATGTCGGAGACAGCCCCTGATCCCTTACTAGGGAAACCACTTAGATACTGAACAGCCTGTGGGCTTCCTCTGAGCAGGGGTTCTAGGTTATCTCTATCCATGGCCCTTGGTTGGAGTATCGGTCTCTGCAGGACTCCCTGGGCCCAGGATTTTTGGCTCTGTTGTTTGACTTGTGGAGCTCCTGTCCCCTCCAGGTCTTTCTAGCTCCCTATTCTTGTGAAGTTCAAGGTTTGCTGCAGCAGGCACCTTTACAGCCTGGTCATCAAAGACAAGGAGAAGGCAGAGAAGCTGAAGCAGTCCTTACCCCCTGGTTTGGCAGTGAAAGAGCTGAAATGAACCAGTCCTGCCTCTGCTTTTAACTATTAAAAATTCCGGAAAGTAGGAAAAAAAAAAATAGCTTTTCTACAAAGCCTTTTTTTAGGCTCACAAGTCCTTTAGCGCAGAGCGCTGTGAGCGCTGTGGGGTCTGTGCACTCTCACCACGCTGACCACTCCTTTGCTTTACAGAAAAGTTCATGGAGCACATCATCACTTACCATGAGTTTGCGGAAAACCCTGGCCTGATCGACAACCCAAACCTCGTAATACGGATATATAACCGGTAAATACCGTTACTTTGATCATTGCTAAGTACTCTCCAGTATTTAGCCGTCATGGTTTTCCCTGCATTAAAATTTGTGATCCCATAAATGAGCCAACAATGATTGGTGAGATGGAAGCTTCAGCTTATTTTTACCTAAGTCATTGAAATGCTGTGTGTCTGTTTCATGGATATTCTGTTTTCTGGATTTTTCTCAGCTCAGAGAAGTTTGGTTTAAAGCAAATCTTCAAAATATAGTTGCTTGTCTCTTTATTGGAAAGAATAAGCAATCTGATCTGTATTTTTCCACTTTCCCTGTAGTCTTTCAACCCTCCCTCTGCCTCCATCCTTTCTTCCCAACTCTGCTTTGCTTCTGACACCCTGTGTCTGATAGTTTTGTACATTTTTTTGTTTTTCATAGTTACTACAACTGGGCTTTGGCTGCTCCCATGATCCTTAGCTTGCAAGTATTCCAGAAGAGTTTGCCTAAGGTGAGTGATGTGCATTTGAAACCTTCAAAGTAGCCATAACATGTGACAGTCAGAAAGTTTATATTCTATATTATTGGGCTCCATTCAAGGTTTTGAGTTTAGTACTTTATATCAGAGGTCCGAAGTGCTGTATTCGCCTACTGCAACCGAGGTAATAACCTGGCCTGCCACCTACCTCATATTTGTTAAGTATTTATACCAATTTATGATGTTGTATGAAAATTCAGAGATAGTGACTAAGAATGCTCATTGATAGAATACTTTCTTGAATGTGTGGAGGTCTGAGTTCAGTCCCCAGTAACACAAAAAAGAAAAGGGGAGTGGTAGGTTTTACTAAGTCATCAGCTAAAAACCAGTCAAGGGATGAAATGTCTTTTCAGCATGGGAAGAAGCAGCAGAGTATGGGTGACTTCATCAGAAAGGTGACGTCAGTGTGGCCAGACTGTGGCTGAGATGCCTGTTAAACAGAACTGCCCACCACCAAGACATTTGTGTAATCAGCCAAAGACAAGAGATGAGATTGTCTGTCTGCTAACAGAACCTTCTGGTCCATGGGCCTCACACCACAAAACTGCCCTGGACCTGTCATTTGCAAAGGAGTACACTGCCTTTCCTTCTGAGCTACGTAAAGCACTAGAAGGATTTGGGATGTGTATAGCGCATTGTTCATTTTAGAATAAGGCACTGTTCTGCAGGATAATGGTAGTGAGGGATTGGTGATTCACAGCGACTAGGTTGTATTGACCTATACTGTTTGTAGGCCACAGTTGAGTCCTGGGTTAAAGACAAGATGCCAAAGAAATCTGGCCGATGGTGGTTTTGGCGTAAGAGAGAAAGCATGACCAAACAGGTAATGAATCTGGTTTATTTTAAAAACAGCTCTTTTTCTGCCACTCATAAGAGAGCGGGCTACAGGCAGTGGCCTCGGCCAGCAGCTCCACTGGTGCTTTCACAGTGATGTGAGGGAGGTGTTTGGACAGCCATTTTTTAGGAAGGCTGGACTTAGAAGGTAGAGCTGGGGGAAGCCGTGTAGGTAGTCAGGGTGGAACCTGGGCAACTCTGACCCTGACTCTAGAGCTGTGCTCTTTTTCCTTCCTGGGTTACTGTTCAGGTGGGCAAGAGCTGCTAAGCCCGCATAGATGTCATGCAGACATGCGGAGCATTCCTTTTAGCAAAGTAACAGGAGAGCAGGTTTGTCCGGAGACCCGTACTCAGCGAGTCGTTTCTCAGAGCCTTCTAAAAAGAGGGTTCTGGGAGCTTTGCCTGTTGTCTCCAGAGAGCAGAAGGGGGGCCCTGCCTCACCCATTCCTATTTCTGTCACTGTGGTTTCTGACTGACCCTCTCCCTTCTGCAAGTGCCAAGCAGGGGACTTCAGGGGTCTACCAGAGACCTGGTATTGGGCCATTTCTAGTTTGTGGTTTAAATGGTGTTCTTAAAGCTTCCTGCAGTTCTGTGAAGATTGCTCCTTATAAGCAGCATATGATTTCTGCCCTTCAGCTACAAGTAGAAAGTCTCAAATTTCTAGTCATGGGTTGAGGTTTTTGTTTCCAAGCAAGGACTGCAGCTGAAGTCTGGAGAAAATATTGTACACTGACATTGTCATTCTTCTTTCCAGTTGCCAGAGACCAAGGAGGGAAAATCTGAGGTCCCATCAACAAATGACCTGCCTTCCAGTGCTGAGGAGCCAACGAGGGCCAGGTGGGTGCCGTCCTTTCTCCTAGCTCAGAGCACTTGGGCAATCCCTGCTTGGCTGTTAGGGCAATCCTACTGAATTTGTAGCCAGAAATACGTTTGTCCTACAGAGAGACCTGACATTAAGTGATTGGTAGGGAAGAACTGCCTTTCCCAGCTTAAATGCACACCTCAGCACTTGTAGCTGCCATGCCCATCACAGCCTGGCTGTAGGAAGGCAGGATTAGGGAAGGCTCCTGACACAGTCAGAGCTGTCGTCCTGGCATCTCCGAGGGGCATGCAAACACTTCTGAAGGGAGGCTTGGGTACTGCCCTCTCCTCTGGACATTCGAGTTGGCTGGGCCTGAGGAAGACTGAACACACTGTGTTTGCAAGTGCTTACATTCCCAACCCTGTTCTCCACTCACTCCCACATGGTAATCCTAACGTGGGAGTTTATCTTCTCACTCTCCCTACGTTCTCTTTGAAAAGGTGTATAAAGTGAACTTACTAACTCTACAACTATTTCCTGCTATGTCCAGTGAATGCCTTGGGCTCCGTCTACCTGCTCACTTTGCTCATGATGTTTTAAAAGATACAGATGCAAAAGTAACTGCCCTTCTAAATGTATGGTGTCGGTGGTTACAGCATTGTTAAGTGGATAAGCAGTGGAAACAGCTCTTGCCATCCTAGAAAGGGTGGAAGTCCTGATGTTTCTCTTTGTTTTGTTTTGTGAGACCAGCACTTCCTATGTAGCCCAGGCTTGAACAGAAGCTTCTGCCTCAGACTTCTAGGGGCAGGGATTGTGGACATGTGACACTTGTTTATTTTGTCCTAAATGATAAAAGCCCTCATCAGTCAAGTTCCGCGCATCTTTGTAACTATTTGATGTTGGATAGGCCTGCAGAAGATGACACTTCTAGTGATGAGGGGTCACAGGAGCTGGAAGAAACAATCAAAGTTGACACCATCTCCATGGAGGCGGCGAGTCACTGTAGCACAGCTTCATATAAGAAGTCTCTCCGGCTCTCCTCGGACCAGATAGTAAGTGTGACCAGTAGAGCTATGCTCATATAAGTGCTCCTCTCTAGGAGAGCAGCACCCCTAGACCCTGGTGAGCAACCGGGGCTACTCAGAGCATGTGGCACGGGTTTCTTCCCACCCACACCTCCTACATCAGTGTCTGGAAGTGAGCCAGGGAAAGGGTGTTTTTAGCAGGCTTCTTCATGAATCTTCCTTCTCACTCAGCACAGGACCCCATGCTGCCTCTCGGGACTCAAAACAGCAGAGCAGAAACATTCTAAATGCAGTTTCCAACATCTCACTTTGACATGTTTTTACTGTGAAATGGCTTTACTGGGGTGAGCATGAGGCTGTGGTCAGGGCAGTGATTAGTGATTTCAAGTGTGGTGAAAGACAGGGAGGTTTTGTTTTGTGTGGGTGTCAGAAAAACAGTACTCAAGCAGTGTGGCTTCCTCAACCATTGTGACCATGTTTGAGTTTGGGCTAGGCTACGTGCTAACTCCATGAAACCGCATGCCCTGAGTTTGTTGTAAAGCTTTAAACTTTGTTCCAAAGTACATATTTTCAGCTTTCTTTAATGTTATGTTTTTTTATAAAAGGCAAAATTGAAGCTCCATGATGGCCCCAATGACGTTGTATTCAGTATTACAACCCAGTATCAGGGCACCTGTCGTTGTGCAGGTACCATTTACCTGTGGAACTGGAATGACAAAGTCATCATTTCTGACATTGATGGAACAATCACCAAGTAAGCTTGAGCCTGCTGTGGGTTGCAGGAAGGATATGGGTTGGGGAGGCAGTCAGTCCTCAGTAATAAGGAGAGTGTCCATATGCCTTAAGATGTCCTGCAAGCAGCCCAAATGCAGTCATTTTTATGGCTGAGGAGGAGGCGTGTGGAACCGTATATACAAATGAATTCTCAAAAGTACCTTGGAAAGATTTGGCTATTTGATCCCTAAATTGTAGCGTTCAAAAAAGACAAACTTACGATTTTAGGGATAAGAGAAAAAAAAAAAGATATGCTAGTACCTTATCTCTGAAAATAAAGACTAGCTCTCCTGTCACACCCCAGATAGGAGCCCTTTGGGGTGTATTATTGCAGGGCTGCTATGCAGCTTCATGGAATCAGGAGAAAACCAACTTGGTACCTTGTCCCGCGTTTGCACCCCACTTAGTGCTCATTGGCAGCTAGGATGGAAAATGGAAAACGTTTGGCCTTATGTGTTAGGTTTCTGGTATTTGTTTCTGCCCTCTTCCCAGGTCTGATGCTTTGGGACAGATTCTCCCTCAACTGGGTAAAGACTGGACTCATCAAGGTATAGCTAAGCTCTACCATTCTATCAATGAGTAAGTACCCTCTGCATATGTCCTTTGCCTCATTTTTGCTTTGACTGTGAACTAGAGAAAAACAGATCATCCATCTGTATACGTTGTGTTTATGGCCTAAATACTTTTTTTGGCTTTGTTTTCCAGAGAGTGCTCTTGATAGCCTATAAATGGGTTTCACCTGCCTCAGCCCAGGTTTAGTTACCACCGGCACCTGTGTAGTCAGAACTGCAACTATTTTTAGCTAGAATTTATCAAGAGCTGATTATCATATTGTGGTTTATTTACTGATAGCATTAGGCATTCATAGAAAACAGTTCCTTAAGGGAAAAACTAGTCATCCTTTTTGGGTTGCTAAGATGTCCCTGTTCCACTGACCCGGAGATGCATCTTCAGCATGAGTTGAGAATACCATAATATGGAAATCAGAATGTGTCATTGTGTGATGTGATTTTACTCCCTGTCCTACAGAATGGTGTGTGTCTAAAAAATGTTCTTAAAATAAGACCTCTTGGATAGCTCCTTCACAGCAAATATTGTACAGGTGGCCCGGGGCTGTCCATTTTGGATCTTCCTCTGAACTAAGTACCCCATGTATTTTGTCAGTGCTTTACAAGTTAACATAATTCATTTTTGCATATACCTCTCTTTTTGTCCGTAGTGTGTAACCCTAACCTAAGTTCAGTGATTTGATTTTCAAAATAAATAAGAGGAACTTGATTTGAATCTGAGAAAAGAAAAAAATGTTGTCTTGTCTTTGTCCAGAAGATGTAGTAACAAGGCTGTGTGTGTGTGTGTGTGTTTGTGTTGTTTTAGGAACGGTTACAAGTTTCTGTATTGTTCCGCACGTGCCATCGGCATGGCCGACATGACCCGTGGTTATCTGCACTGGGTCAATGACAAGGGCACCATCTTGCCTCGAGGCCCTCTGATGCTGTCTCCCAGCAGCTTGTTCTCTGCCTTCCACAGGTAGCCTGCCCGTGGGGGCGCTGGGTCCTCCTTGGTGATGGGGGCTGGGCTCAGGCCCAGTGGGATATGAAGAGAACACTGACCTGGTCCCCCAGGCCATGCCGTGTCTGTGCTTCTCTTCGTTCATTGACTATCTGAAGTGCTCAGTCAGGACAGTAAAGTAAAGCATGATCACTCAGATACTCTGTCCTGAGACTCACTAGGATGAAGGCTGACAGTGCAGAAGTACTGAGGAAGTGGGTGGCTGTAGCATGAAAATCTTTCCAAGAACATACTGTAGGAAAAACTGCCATTTCTAATTTGGTGTCTTTTCTTGCTTAGGGAAGTGATAGAAAAGAAACCAGAGAAGTTCAAAATTGAGTGTCTGAATGATATTAAGAACTTGTTTGCCCCGTCCAAGCAACCCTTCTATGCTGCCTTTGGAAACCGTCCCAATGTAAGTGTCGTTGGAGTGTGTGCTTGTGTGAGCCAAGTTCAAGAAAAGGCACATCCTGGGGCAGGCACAGTCATGCCGTAGTTCTCAGGCCAGGTCCACAGGCAGAGTCAAATCTCTAGGCCTGGGGACTGGACCTAGAGCCTTCACATTCCAGACTGCACTCGACCATTGAGCCTCGTTGTCTCAAACTCTTTGGCCCTTTTAATTTTTTCTAAAAATCATTTGTATGAGTACTCTGCCTGTGTGTGTTCGTGCATGTGTGTATGCGAGTGTTCATATGCACGAATGCATGCGTATAAGTACTTTGCCTGTGTGTGTGCGCGTGTGTTACCACATGCATGCCTGGTGTCTGGAAGTCAGAAGAAGTCATCACATGTCCAGGAACTGGAGTTAGAGATGGTTTGAGTCACCATATGGGTGCTGGAACTTGGACTCATGTCTTTCTGCAAGAGCATCAAGTGCTCTTAAGAATGAGTCATCTCTAGTCCCTTTTTAAAATTTTTTGTTGAGACAAGACTCAGTAAGCTACCCAGGCTGCCCTTGAACTCATTCTGTAATGTAGGGAGCCTTTGAACTTGAAACCTGGCCTCGGCCACCTGAGTAGCCGGGATTACTGGTCTGTATTAGAGACCAGGCTTATTCAAATTCTCTAGCACTTGGGAAGTCCTGCAGTTCCCTGATGACCCCAAGACTATACAGAAGGATGTCTTTCTTCCCCTCATCCCCCAGCCCCCACCTATTTTCTTGGGCAATTCTGCCTACATTCCAACTGATTCTCTGCCTTAATTCTAACTCATTGGTTCTCAGCCTTCCTAATGCAGTGACCCTTAATGACAGTTTCCATGTGGTTAACCCCCAGCCATGAAGTTATTTTCATTGCCACTTAACAACTGTAAGTTGGTTACTGTTACGAATCATAATGTAACTATCTTGATATGCAGGATGTCTTCTAATCAACCACTGTGAAAGGGTCATTTGACCCCAAAGGGGTTGAGAACCACTGTGGTAACTGTGATTCTGAGCCATGCCCTTGCGTCCACACCAGAATCTTGGTGTGAGTACCCCTCTGCTTTGGCAGGTCTCACCCTCCGTTCGTACTGCATCCTGAGAGGGTGAGGGCGGGAGGTCTTCATATCGTGGGTGTTTTCTGCTTCCCCATCCACTCTGGGTCTGTCGTGAGTTGACGCGGTGGTTCTGGCTCACCGGGAGCCAACTAAGTTTTCGTTTCTTCTGCAGGACGTCTATGCTTACACACAGGTCGGAGTTCCGGACTGTCGAATATTCACCGTGAATCCAAAGGGTGAACTAATACAGGAAAGGACCAAAGGAAACAAGTCATCGTAAGTACATTCAGGTTGCAGCTCAGGTACAGCTGAGGACAGATGAGAACGGGGCCAGGCCTGAGGAGCAAAGCTATACCTCTTTAGTGGGTTTTCCCTGTGGATAGCAGCGTAAGGACTGTCTGGTTACTGTGTGGAAGACAGCCTGGTCCCTGGGAGGGGCTACCTCTTGGTGTTGAGTGGCCCTCTTTATCTGAGCCAGCTTAGCAACCGATGGTCCTGTGCTGGGCAGCAATTGTAGTGTAACAGCTGTGTCTTTTCCCCGACTCCTCCCAGGTACCACAGGCTGAGTGAGCTTGTGGAGCATGTGTTCCCACTTCTCAGTAAGGAACAGAACTCGGCCTTCCCATGCCCAGAGTTCAGCTCCTTCTGCTACTGGCGAGACCCAATCCCTGATGTAGACCTGGATGACCTCTCCTGAGCAGGGCCTGGATGGTCCCTCATTTCCCAGCAGGGAAGGTCACCGGACCTCTTACAGATGAAGAACCAGGCTGTCAGGAACCTGCTTTCCAGAACTGGGACAGGGCCCCGAAGCTGGCACTGCTGCCCTCTTTCTGCTTCCCAGGCCAGCGCTCAGCACCTGGACAGAGGAGTAAGGCCTGTGCTTCATTACCTGGGGGCTCCCACACGCCTCCTGGACAGTGTGTGCTGTGTACCACTCGGCTCAGAGTTTAAAAAGGAAGAAACCACAAGCTTAGAAGACTGGAGCAGCACATTCCTACACCAAGTAAAGAGTTAAAATTTCCACCTCAGTTGAGACCGTTTCTCTCTGTAGCCAGGGCTCTCCCTGGAGGGCCAGGTGGTGTTGCCGGCTCTGTTCGTGTCCTCCTCAGGACCTTTATTCTCCTCACTGAACCAGGACACCTGCTTCCTGTGCCAAGTTGGGCAGCCCCCGGCACCTGTGTGCCAGCACCGTGAGCCCAACTGCACCAGCATGGGCTCTGGAGGGAGAGCACCCCACATCGCCATCTCCTCACGCGTCCCTGCTGCACCCTGAGAGAAAGTTTGTTACTGTTGTGACCTCGCCAGAAGAGCAGGCTCATGTGTCATGTCTGCAGTGGCAGTGAGAAGTTGGTTTAAAGCACAGAAAAGGTGGTGGCAGCTTCGCCTCAGAGGTGTAGAAAGGCAGCTGCACTGGGTCCTGGGAATAGCCCTGTTCTCTGGCACTGTCACCTGCCTGAAGTGGCCCTTGGTAGGTATTTCAGAACAGGATTTTTGAAATTGTAGGCTTCAGATTTGCCAAGGAAAAAGCCTTTGGCTAGTGGCATTGATCAGCTATTTGGATTCCAACCATGTAATGAAGTCCATGGAGGCATGTGAAAGGAGTTCTGATGTGCCTGTTGAGAGCCAGCATCTCAGCAGCAGCTTCAGCCCATCACTGTGACTCTCGTGCAGATGAGGGCCCATGGGGTGTGAGTCCCCCGGCCCGTCCTTGGCGGCAACACGCTCTGGCATGGGTAAGTGCTCTGGTCAAGTGTTGGAACGATGGCACCGGGGAGTAATGTCCTAAAGTCTGCAGAGCCTGTGGCCATCTGGGTGTGGGCAGTGCTAACGTCAAGAGAAGTGTTGGAGGAAGGCACTCCAGTGACTGTCAGTGGCTCTTGGTCACGGCCCTGCACCGGGAAGATGGAAGTGGAGCTTCTGAGCAGAGAGGGGCTGCACCTGAAGATGGTTCTGCTTCAGCTCTGCACGCCCCTGCAGAGGATGGCCGGCCATCCTGTGCTTTAGTTCGCTTCACCTAGAGCTGGCTTTGGAAAGGGGTGGTTATTTTCCAGATTGGAGAGTTGAGTGGCCCTGCCTCAGCTTAGTATTGCAGTTGAATGCAGAGACCTGGTAGTAATTTTGAATAAAAGAAGACAAACCCTTTGAAACATAGTTCTAAGTGGTAAAACCTGGAGACACATACTCCCATCGAAGGGCAGCACAGGCCCCCACGGTGCTGATATCCCTGTCAGAGTTATTGGTGTCAGTAGTCGTGGGGAAACAGTTATGTTTATGTGAAATAAGATTCTGTGGGCTGGAGACATGGCTCAGCAGTTAAGAGCACTGTCTGCTCTTCCAGAGGTCCTGAGTTCAGTTCCCGGTGGCCACATGTGGCTCACAACAATCCATAGTGTGATCTGATACCTTCCTCTGGCATGCAGGTGTAGAACGAGAGTTGTGTGCACTTAACCTGAGCTTAGTCGGCTCTCTGTGTTACAGAAAATCTTTATCATGTTTCCTCCTCAGACCATTTCTGTTTGTCCTTTAGGGAGTTTTTGCTGAGGTAGTCTGTTTCCTTTTCCTGACACTTTCCCTTTGGACACATGGGCCTTTTCAGAAGGTCCCGTATCGGCTCGGGGTCTCCTGGCCTGTACTGAGGTGGCTGATCTTCTTTCCCCGTGTCCGTTAGCCCTGCACTTGTCACTGCAGATTGCTCAGTGGGTATTTAGGCTAATGAATGTAACTCTTCTTCCTTACTTAAAGGAGTCTTCTTGCTGAAAGGACATGATTACTATTACTGTAGTGTTACTAAGTATTAGGTGTGTGCTGAAAATCCATTGCCATTTGTTACAAATGACATTTGTTCTTTCTGTGAAAGAGAGATGCCCTCAAGTGTGTTTGCACACAAACCCTCAGATGGCTTGTTGCAGTATCACCCTTGTCATCAGTGACAAGTGATGTTGAAGGGACACTACCGGCTTGGTGCATCTGTGGACCTCCCCCTGTGTCTTTGTCTTTGCAGTTCAATCTAATTTTAGTGTTGGCTTTGCTGTTGATTGTTGAAGCTTGCACCGCTGTGGAATTGATGGCTGCTCTCTGTCAGGCTGTGTAAGATGTACCTGCCTGGAGTCTGCACACATAGGCCTGTGCTCAGTACTGCATTTCCTGTGCTCTAACCCATCTTCAAAGTCAGCTGGAAAAAGAAATGTACCATTGTGATGACCCAAAACAAAAGCTGCTAACAATCATAGACCAGACAAGGACCAGAACTGAGCAGCAGGGAAGCTCCCATCTCTGCAGCCCCTTGCCCATGGGGCGGGGCCAGCCTTCTGTAGTGCTCCTCAAAGCCCAGCGTCCAGAAGAGAAGAAACGGTTAAGGAGACAAGAGCACCCTCTTTTTGCAAGTTTATCATAGAGCTCTGGGAAGCCTTGTTTCTATGTTTGACAGCACACTGGGGTTTATTTAAAACCGGGTGAAGTAAGTGCTCTTCCAGGGAAAAAAAAAAAAAAAACTTTGACATGAAGGCAGAGGAAAGATTTCTTTTAAAAATTAGGTTCAGCTGATGAAGTATTGGATTGTTAGACAGCAATGTGACTAAGCAGCTTTAAGCTGTCAGGAATTGTAAACATCGCTGCAATACCTTCAGTTATGGCAAAGATGTCTCCAGATGAATGGCTCATATTTTGGTGCAGTGTTTGATGTTCACAACACAATGTTACGATAATAAACTAACATAAACTGAGTGCATTGGGCTCCTTCCTTCAGGGACATTTGACCATAGTGCCAGAGGTTGACGATCACAATTGCTGGTATACCTGAACCGCACATTGCCTTTGCTGACATGTTTGTCTAAGGAGGGGCCTCTTCCTGTTGCTCATTTGTAAACCCTGGTTCTAGAAGTGAAACTAATGTGTCTGCCTTGTAGGTTCTGCCCAGAAGAGGTTTACCCTTCCATCACTTCTCTTACAGTCTGATTACCCACCGTCCCTCAGAGCCTTTATTCAGCCCTTCCTGTGGTGTATGTGGTAGATAATGGTCCTGATGTTTCCTTCGGAGTAACAATAGACGTGGTCTTGATCACAACCCCATATCATGTAGCTGATGAGCTAGTATTCCATCATCCCTCAGATCACTGGGCAGCAGTTAGTACACCTGTTGGAGCACAGGGGCTATACTTTGTCCTAGAAAGGGTCCGATTATAAAGGAAATGGGGTTTTCTTCCAGACAGTTTTAAGGGCTGTGGGAGAGGAGCAGGCATCCATGCATGAGCCCAGAGGCCCCAGGTTGGCAGCCCTCAGCTGCCTGCATGTGTGCCTCTTTCCATCGAAAGATGGCACACAAAAGCACAGGCGTGTGTTTGGGTAAAGCCACTCGAGACTGGTAGGGCCAGGCTTGAGGAGCCCACTTCCCCTTCATGCTGCAGATAGTGTGCAGGAAACAGTGATCGTCCTGGGAAGGCTGGCTGTGTGCAAGTCTGGAAGTGGTTTGAAATAACACCTGGGGCACTCCTCCTGGCAGGTTCCATTTAGCAGTAGTCGTTTAAATGATGCCATTCGCTTACGGTACGAATGGGGCAAAATGTTCCAGTTTTTAGGAAGTACTGCCTTTTTCTCAGTAACCAACAGCTCCATGATTTCAGAAGTTGCACCCTGAACCTGGTGGCCCTGTGGTGCATACCAGTCAGCCCTGCTTCTTGGGAGGACTGCTTGGGAGCAGCCTGGGTGACGTAACCAGAGTCTGTCGCAAATTCTATAAAAGCTAGCCAAAACCTTTAGCCTGAGTAAGTACTTAAACTCCATTTATGCCTCTGACTCATGGGCACATGACTTGAGGGGTGTGGCAACTTAGGAGCCCCTCCCCCAGACAAGCTCCCTTTTTAAACCTGTGTCCTGCATGGGCTGCGTTCAGCTTTCATCCCCTTGGTCCTGCAGTGAGCAAGGCTGCTGAGGCTGGGCTCACTCTCCAGAGAGCTGAAAACACCTTTGCCAGTAGCAGACACACACACAGTGGAGGCCGGGGTTCTGTTGGCTCCTCTAGAGACCCATCTAGGAGTGGGGAATACAGTGGCCATGGGCCTGCTGTGAAGTCCTGCCCTCCACCCGCTTGACCGCTTTGGCACTGAGTAAGGTCTTCAAGGAAGACTGTGAGGGAAAAGGGCAAAAGCATGTGTGTGAGCCAGCTGGGTTTTCCTGAAAGCACTGCTGCTTTGGGTTTTTCCATGAGTCATTTCTAGGACAGGCAGGGGTACGCTGACCTCTGTGGCCAACTCCTCGCAGGGAGAACTCTAAAATGTGCAGCCCTTGGCCATCCTTCCAAACATCCAGTAATTCTTTATCAGACAGTCCTTGAAATCCAATGTGTTTTTTACTGCCTTGGTCTCTTCTGCCAACTAGATTAAGAGCAAGACGAGGGTTTTCCCTGTCTGCACCTTCTACTAGGGACTTGAGGGACTGCTTTTCCCTACAGGGACTGGCTGACCAACAGTTTTCCCCGAAACCTGGTCAGCAAAAGCTTTCCTGAGCTGAGTGTCCCGTGTGCCTATAGCCTGTGGGGCTGCTGGGAAAGTGTTACTGTGCTAGGCTTCCTAGACCCAAATACGCCCGTCTTCCCAGATGATCTCAAGTTCCAGTCAGCCGTCCGTTTTCTATTGGGCCTCCTGTTGCTTAGGAACCAGAGTTCATAGTGCTGCTGCCTCTGCCAGTGGGCTGTGCAGGGGAGCAATAGGAAGTCAGTCTCATTAGCCTGCAACCAGATCACCTCCCTAACATGTTGCTCCGGCTGCAGGACCCTAGGAGGCCCTGACCTTGAAGGACATCTGCTCTTGGTTTACCAGCCAGTCAAAACCTAAATATGCATGCAAAGCCTGGGAGCCAGCAGGTGTGCGATTATCTTACGTAATAGTTGGGATTAATTTACCCAGCCATAGAAAGTTCTCCAGTTTGCCTTTTTTCTTTCCCAGTTCCCCATCTATAAGGCACCAGATCCAGAAAAGCGATTTTGACATCTTTATTGATGCTCCCTCTCTTTGCACTTATATCGCACATGTCATTTAAGGAGCCCAACAAGTTTTATAAATAATGTCTCTTTCGTCCCTCTCTGTAGCAGGGCCCAGGTGAGGAGAGAGGAGTCCTAGTGGTAACAGCAAGCCAAGTGTGGACCAGCCCACAGTGAGCCCCAGGTCCAGGCCACACCAGCATTTCAGTGTTCAGCGTCTTCCATGTGCAGTGTAGAGAGGCGCGTGTTCTCCAGCTGCCCCAGGCTCATCCCGCTGGGGAGCAGCTCGAGCCTCCGCAGGTAGCACCGAGTGGGCCCAACCCAGGACCCTCGAGCAGAGCTGGAGGGTAGGCAGCACAGGAGAAGCCAGCTTCCAGCCACGGGGACTCACCACGTCTTCTGCTCGTCCAGTTACAGTGACAGGAAAATGGGGGCCCCATTAATCAGGTGTCACTTGCACAGCTGTCTGGAAACTAGGGGTGGCAGTCTCTACAGGGAGGTAAGGCCTTTGACCTGGGGCAGGTGGAGTGTGCAGCGAGCTAGAGCTGTGCTCCAGGTACACAAACTGAATATATTAGCGCTTTGGGGTTCGTCCAGCCTTCCTTCCCCTCCCGACTCCCCTAGAGGTGGGAAAGGAAAGGATACAGGAAAACGCCACTAAAGGTGGAGTACATTTCATCAAAGTCTGTGTGCGCCAGTCTGCCCCCAGTCACCACAACATTGACCCCGTCTCCTGCCTTCAAGTGCACGATGAGGTGGAAGGCGCCCGGGCCCCCGCAAGTGTGCACGGCCCCAGGGGGACGGTGGTACTCCAGAAACTCCCTGCGGTACCCAGCGGTGTGCAGCTGGGCAACACTGGCGTTGGAGACAGACAGCACGGCTTCCACGTACGCGTCCCTCTCGGGGGTGAGGGTGGCCGTGATCAAGTAGCGCCCATCGTACGGCGCCGTGAAGATGCCTGGAAGAGCCAAGCAGACAGGTGAGCTGAGGTGGTGCCATCACTGCCCGTGCCCTGGGTGACGTCGCCCTGCACAGGTCAGGACGGCCGGTCAGCCAGACCTGTGGAAGGCAGGCTCGCTTAGGGAGAACGTGCCACCTGCCCCATCTTCTCCAGTATGAAGAGCAACCCCAGGGCCCGGGGCATTCCAACAAGCATTCGACCGCTGTCCGTCACCAGGCCCGGTGTGACCTCTCGCTGCAGCCACAGAACCAGACCACAACTCATGTCATAGCCCACGATCCTGGGCTCCTAACGTCCAAAACCTATACTCCAGTCCTAGGGTATCGGAGCTGTGTTACTGTTGCCTAAATATATAGCAGGCTAGAAACAAACCAGCCATGGCCCTGGTGGGACAGCAGACTTGGGACCAGGACCCAGCCATGTAAAACATCTTACTAAATCTCAGATGTGATGAAAAGAAAGCTGTCCAACACGCTGAACCACCTGGCCCTAGGAGGTCATGTTAACCCTCCTCATCTGAAAGCTGCAGCCTCTTGGGTATAGGTGATGGTCATTTGTGGCCAGAAGCCCTGCTCTCCAATAACTCCAGTGCCCACATGTCCTGAGAGGCAAAGGAAGTGACTGGAGAAGACCACTCATAGCCTCCATCCCAGGATAGGAAGGTATCAGGCCTTTACACCTAACCAATAAGCCAGATGTCACCATGTAATTAGGATCCAGAAACTATGAAAGGAGCCTTCAAAGAGTGCAGCCTTGAGTCTGGCTGGGTCCACCCTGTTGCAGATCCTGGAGTGTGTCAGGAGATACCTGACTGAGGGCAGATCAGGCCACAGTGTCCTGGGGGCAAGCCTAGCTCCAGGTCACCCAGACCTTGATGGCAGCCTGCTCATGGACTTGTTCTAGGAGTGACAGCAATTGTTGGCCTGCTTGTGAAGATCACCCGCCTGTGTAAGTGCTCCTACAACCAGGTTAGCCCGAAAGGAAAAACCTCATTCTCAATCAAAATCAACAACCAACTCTGGTACAAAACCTCTAGGTACAGACTAGAAAGACTGTTGGGAGCAAAGCTTGGCAGTCTGGGATGCCTGAATTCTTTCTCTAAGGTCTGCCAGTGACTTTGGTGCAACTGACATATCAGAACCAGTGTGACCTAGGCAGATGGTGACCAGGCAGGGAATTGTGGCAAAAAAAAAAAAAAAAAAAAAATGTGGCTAAAAATTACAAGGAAGACAATCAAGACCCTCTCCCCTCCTGTGGAGGCCATGTTCATGTCTTCATCAATGAGAGCAATAACTGCTAAAGGTAAGGAAACCGGGCAAGGCTAGACCTCCTTCCTGTCTGCCTCAGAGGGTTGCCCCATGGCCCAGATGGAATTGTCCTGGGTGACCCATGCGTGGCCATCAGGAAGGGCTCTGGGCTGGCATATCAGGGGATGGCTCAGGAAGGGGGTGAGACAGTACAAGCTGGAGGAAGAGAAGGAAGGCTGTGTTGTCACAGCTCGTAGCAGGTTCCCTGGACCAGACGCCCTCCAAAGTCCTCTGTTTAATTTTGTCTCTGTGTGAGGTCCCACACTGCAGGCTCAGCCCCTTCTGGAGAGATCACAGCCCTTTTTCGGCTCATCATAAAACACAAGATTCTCAAGGGAGTCTCTGCCTCTGAAGATTCATAGATAAAGCACGCTTGATGACCAACTAGAGGATAGCTGGAAGACAGGTGATTAGAGTGTGCCAGGGCAGGGCTGGCAAAAAAAAAAAAAAAAAAAAAAAAAAATCCTTTTAGCAACCATTAAAATTAGAGCAGCAGCAGTTCGAGTGTGTGATGACCCCCTGTGCTTCCCTCCTGCACTTGCAGCCCCAGAGTTGGAGTTTTAGCCTAGGTTCTCCCCAGCCTCTGGGGGCCAGCACAGGAGGGGGTGGCTACCTGCATGTGGGTGGAGCAGAGCAGAGTTCCCTCAGATACTCACCAGTGTTGGGGTTATACACACCCCCATCGTTCACCAGCACCTTATTGAAAAGGACCACACCTCCATCACTGGGAAAAGGCTTCTGGGTAAGACCAGCTGAGAAGGACACCAGGGCAGGCAGCGGCACCCCTAGGACAGAGAGGGGCAGGCGAGCTTGGACTAGCCTGTCTTCTGAAAGGGTTAGTGGACAAGGGTTAGGGTACAAGCCATGCCTCCTGCTAGGTCTAGAGGCTCCCTTGTCAGACCAAGGGTGCCCCCAGAGAAACCGGGATGGGGGGCGGCTGGGGAGGGAGGTTGCGACACAGACACTGCACACACACGAAAGCCTCAAGGGGACTGACTGGAGTCAGCACATGTGAAGCTGAGGATGTGGACAAGAAAGCACGAGAAGAGACGCTGTGCACTAGCCACATCAGGGCTGGTGCTGGGCGCAGAGAACCCTCCAGGGAGCTGCTTGCCTGCCAGCGAATGAAGCGGGTCAGGACCACACAGGGGACAGCCCACCCAGCCCCTCCCCCCCCCATCCCGCTTGGAAAACATGAACAGAGACCGGTAGGAAGAGAAGGTCCTGCCTCGGAGCCTCTGGCCGTTCAGTCCATAAAGGCTGGGATCATGGGGCTGCCAGGCATGGAAAGGCTGCTGGCCCTCTTGCCATGCCAGCAGCCTCAAGGGAGGAGGCAGGAAGTGCAGGGCTCTGAGTAGACATACCTGGGGTGGCTACAGGAGGAGACTTGGGGTAGCCTGCGAACAAGAGAGCGGATGTCAGATCCTGAGCAGGTACCTTTCAGAACTCTCCCTTCTAGCATGGCTGTAACCCTAACTCTGGCTGTCGGCATCACTGCTCTCACCCCCAACAGCAGGCAAAGTACATTTTAAATATTTGTTGTGTTCTGAGGTGTCCCCAGTGCCCACGTCAGATCAGCAAAGAGAGGTTCCTCTACCCTAATACCCTGTGGAAGCTACCTTTCTGAACGTGGTCCTTAAAGGTGGAACTTTGAACCCACAACACACATCCACCGACAGGCACAGGCTAGAAGCGTCTGCCGCCCTGTGCCTTCTGCAGCGTGGGTTTACCTGGCGCGCCTGCGTAGCCTTCCGAGCTAGGAATGGGCCCTTGCCCCATCTGTCCGTCCACTCCCTGGGGCAGGCCCCTTCCCGACATGCCCATCCTGCCTGGAGGCCCAGCCTCTCCGGTCTCCATGATGACCCCGCTAGACCCAGGCAGGAAGGGGAGGCCTTGGCGACCAGGCCAAGCAGGCAAAGGCGGTGGCTGTAGGGGCCTCTGGGGCAGTACGGGCCGCTGGCCTGTCTGTGGTGGTCTGGCAGCATCTTCTGGCGGTGGGGTCAGCAGGGGAGGCTCAGTGGGAGCCTCCTCTGAGGGTCTGGTGGATTCTGGTGGGGTCTTCCCAGATGGCGCCTGGGTGGCTTCTGAGGGCTCCTCTGCTAGCAGTGAGAGAGAAAAACCGTTAAAATGTCTCCAGGTTCCCAGTGTAAGGCTCCCCTGACCCTTGATCAGTGCCAAGGATTTCCTACAAAGGCTGTGCCTGTGTAGCCAAGACACTGTCCCCAACAGGATGTGAAGAGTACCAGAGCTTGGGTCAGCTTGCCTGGCATCTTCTCAAGGAATGACAGCCAAGCTGCCTCAGATCACCCAGGGAACGCTGGGGAGACAACTGGGGCCTCCTGGATGTAAATGGGGACACTCCAAAACAGCATGGCTCCAGCACCCCATGTCCCTTCAACGCATGCTCACATCACAGAGGAGTCATGTTCCCATGAGGAACTAGTGCCGTTGCAGCCTCTAAAGTAAGCTAGCCTCAGGGTCAGGCCGGTGGCCTCACTGCTGGCTTGTAAAGGGCTGCTCTGAAGACCCGTTGACTGCCAGGCAGGTGTCAGGAACCTTGCTGGCCCCTACGGTTGGCACTGACCCTAAAGAAGCGCCACCATTTCCCCACACGTCTAGATCACCGGTGGAGGGTCCTCCCAAGAGAGGAACCTCATCCTTCACGTGTCTGCCCGTCTGAGGTGGCCACCACAATGACTCAGCCGAGAACTGCCGCCCCTTCCTTCCTTCCTCCGAATACGTTCCCAGAAGTGGCTCTCCAACAAGACCTTGCTATTGCTCACAAAACATCTGAGAACATAGCACTTGCAAAGGCAAAGACCACCCGCCTCCTTTTTCAGTCTGATGCCTAAAATGCTCCAGGGCCCAGAGCTGGACAGTTCCAATGAGGGACCATCAGTGGCCCACTGTCTAGAGCTGCTTTAAAGAGTTATAAAAATTATGTTGTAAGTCAAATGCATGCTCCCCTTCCACCCAAGACAGGTGGCCAGAGCACCCCAGGGAGTTATTTCTCGGCCTTTTCTGACCAGTGTTCATGACAGAATAAGCTCCACAGAAAGGAATTCTAGAAGTGGCGATTTCAGCTCTAAGAAGAACTCCTGGACCATCCCATTGTGGATGCAGGCAGTATGTGGATGCGATGGTGTGAAGGTCCTGGCATCACTCGGGAGGCTGAGGCAGGAGAGCACAAGTTCTCCGCCAGCCTACACGATGGAAACCTCTCAGAAAAATAAAAACTGGCACAAGCACCCTCCTGGAAACAAGGGAGGAAACCATGAAGAGTTTAGGGTCTTACACAGGACAAAGGTGAGGAAGACACAGGTGGGGAGCCTGGAGCAGGAAGTAGAGTTCCCAAGGAAAACCCGCTAATACTTTAAACATGGGACTACAAAGTGCCTGGGTATGTTTTATAGGAGAGGCTGTTGGAAGTTGCAGCACGTCTCCTCACAGGAAACCTATTTTCGTGTTTCCTGCATGTGATGTGCAGGTCTCATGTGTTACAAACTGATGCAAATGTCACCGAATCATCCTCAGTGGCTCTCCATTTTTCACTGGGACAGGTTCTCTCCGTCAGACTTAGAGCTCACTAACAGGGCTAGCACTGGGGATGCCCTACCTCTGCCATCTGAGGATAGGAGCACGGCTCCACAGCCACCTGCACGTATGTGAGTTCTAGGGAGTCCCAACTCCTCACACCTGCTTGGCGCTTCTGAGCCTTCTCCCCATTCCGTGGTAAATATGCACTTTCTTGTTTTTACTGAAAGGTTAGGAGCCAATTGTGGTGGCGCACGCCTTTAGTCCCAGCACTCAAGAGGTTGAGGAGGGAGGATCTCTGAGTTTGAGGGGCCAGCCTGGTCTGCAGAAGATCAGACACTGAGACAGTCAGCAACATGGTGAGACCCTGTCTCAAAAACAGAAACAAACAGGAGGTGCAAGCAGGAGGGAGACTATTTTGGAGGAAGAGCACGAGGCAAGTAAAAAGGAAGGAGGTTTTCATAGGGTTTCTCATAGGCACAGAGTCCTAGGGAGAGGCCTTGTGGGTAAACTCCTTGCAGGTGCGCATGCGAACATGAACCCCACCCTAGCGCCAGCGTCATGGGCACGAACTTGATGCATGTGTATACATGTGGGTAAACAGTCATGCCCACAAAGTAAGAATCCGAGGGCCAGAGAGAGTTCGGCACTTAAAAACAATGGCTACTCTTGAAGGACTCAAGTTCAGTTCCCAGCACCCACGTGGCAGCTCACAGCTGTGCATAAGTTGAGTCCCAGGGGATCTGGCATCCTCTTAGGCTCTTTTGCGTGTGTGCGTGTGTGTACTTATTCACTGACATATACACACACAAAATATACATTTTTTTAAGGAAGCTAGAAACTGTGAAAGACCGTGTGCCTTGATCCCCAGCCTCCACACATGAATGCGTAAAACAAGCATGTACATCAAAGTTTTAAAACAGCGCAGAAGGGGATGAGGGAATGAAGGGTGAGGGGAGGTGAAAGGTCAAGAGCACTGGGCACTCACACAAAAGCCTCATGAACCGTTTCGAACAATTCATAGACATGAATTGAAATCTGCTTTCTACTGCCCTAAAACCAGACTTCGTCTCCCCTGCTGCCCAGCTCCTGCCTCCATCCCGGAGCTGTCCCCAGAGCACCCCCTGGCTTGGCCCCTCTGCTCTGCTGGGCCTGCCCCCATCTGTGCAGGCTAGCCTGCACACCATCACCTCTGTGACCGCCCGAGATCCGCCCAGTGGGGCCTGAGCAATCTTGTTTCTGAAGCAAGAAGCAAGTTGGGGCACCTTCATTATCTCTGGTCCCCAGGACTTGGCACATGACGCTGAGGCTCTAGAAGTATGACGGTTACTGCCATCCAGCCAGGCCACTGGGACTCCTAATTCTACCCCCAAATCACTACGATTCTCCGGTTCTACTTGGACAGTTTGGGTACACAGGACCATGGTAATTCCTTTTAATTTAATCCGTTCCCTCAATGCCAGGTGTGCCATAAAGCAAGAACTTAAAATCCTGTTGGAGCAAAGAGTCTCCGAGGGGAAGGCAGGGCTGCAGGGGTGAGCAGAGCTGCTGCTGGGAAACTGCCAGCCAACTCCTAGCTAGACAGCAGTGAGAAGGCCTGGTCTGAGGCCCAGCCTCTCCCAGCGTGGGTCCACCCAGTGTCACATGGTGTTTCCTCGGACATTTATTACCAAGTGCTACCGAAGGCTGAGCAGCACCGTTCAGTCTAGAGAGAGAATTCTGAATGCACACACTGTTCACACTCGGATGGTGAATTCCTTGTGTACCTGAGCAGTGAGTGTGAGAACACTCACCAGGGCAGCAGGCCCAGCTGTCAACAGGCGAGGATGGAGGAGCGAGGGGGAGGAGGGCTCACTCCTGGGTGACCCTGCTCTGTCCTCCAGAGCTCAGGTTAAGTTTTATGTGGCAGCTCGTGCCTATAATCTCTGCACTTGGGAAACTGTGGCAGGAGGATTGCTATGAGTTTGAGGCCAGTTTGGGTCATGTAGTGAGCTCCAGGCCAGCCAGGGACACAGAGCAAAACTATCTCAAAATAAGGGGGATGGGGTTCCCTAATTAAAAGCCAACGTTGAAGTCACTCAAGACTCCCGAGGAGGCTGGAGTGTTACTCCAGCTGCACTGACACCTTCCTTCCACCCACCGGAGTCTAGACCCTTATCTGCTGCCTCAGTACCCCACCAGTACAGGGGCCGAGCTCCCAGCAAGAGGCAGAGGCAGGTATCAGCTATGCCCCTGGCCACCGGATGGTGCCTAGCCCCCGGAACACAAGAAGGACCCTCACTGCCACTGTTAGGGTCTGCCATCCCGGGTTCCAGGAAGCTCCGTGGTCCTCAGCCTCCGACTCGGCAGTGTTCCCTCCTGTCAGCCAGGCAGGTCCTGACCACAGCGCACTGCGTGCAATCCATCAGAAGGCTGGCGGTGAGGTCTGCTCTCCCTGTGTCTAGCATTTGCTCAAGAACTGAAAATTAAAAGCAAGTGAGTGAGCAAGCAAGAGAGAGAGAAGAAAAGAAAAAAGGCTGATGGGGGCTGGCCTCTTCACTAAAGTGCCTGCCATGCAGGCTGAGGGCCTGGGTTCGGACCCCAGCACCCACAGTGCCTGTAACTTCGTACTACGAGAGAGGCTGAGACCACTGGATGCCTGGAGCTTGTCGGCAAGTCGGGAAACCGAGTTCCAGGCTGTCTGGAGAAGGGAGGGAGACAGGCTGGAGAGGAGCCCTGGCGTGAGTGTGCGGCGCGGCCCCGCAAAGACCCAGGTTCCAGCACCCGCTTAGGTGGCTCACGAGCACCTGCAGCTCCAGCCCCAGAAACCAGATGCTCCTAGACTCTGGGAGCATCTGCGTGCTCCTGTGGACACACCCAAGTAATAGGAGCCTTAAAAAAAAAATAAAACACTAACAACCCGGGGAGGCAGAGGCAGGCGGATCTCTGTGAGTCTGAGGCCAGCCTGGTGTACAAAGGGAGTCCAGGACAGCCAGGGCTGCAGAGAAACCCTCTTTAAAAAAAAAAAAAAAAAAAAAAAAAAAAAAAAAAAAAAAAAAAAAAAAAAAAAAAAAAAAAAAAAAAAAGGAAAAAATAAAACAATTAAAAAGTAGAAAATGACAAAGGAAGACTCCAAGCTTGAACCCTGACCTCCATACACAGGTGCGTGTGCACATACACACACACACACACACCACATACAAAGACACACACACACAAATCATGTTTCGAGTCTGTGGCTGTACGTCAGGCCACATCTGTAGCTGTTTTTGGCTAACCACACATACGGCCTGTGGGTCATGGGTTGGGCCTGCCTGGCAGACGCTCTCCCTTCCAGCCGCATATTGAAGCTGGAGGATCTGGTCATTGAAACTTTAAACTTTAAAAAGCTCTACCATCTAGCTGTAGTGCCTGTACAATCAGCACTTGGAAGTTTGAGGCAGTGAGTTCAAGGCTAACCCAGGCTCCAGCATGAGTAGCTGGCCCGAGTCCGGGAGGACAGCCTGCAGCAGGAGAAGCAGCCGCTTTGGTACTCAGGAACATGGGCTCCAGGGCGCCAACGTCACTCCCAGGTACTGGCCCTCCT